AGGCTTCCAATGTAGACTTGAACTAGGATATCATCAGTCGTTGCTCAACACTTTGACTTCTGTACTACACTGGCTTTTCTATAGCATTAGAGCAGGGGTGTCAAACTCAGTTTCACTGAGAGCCACATCAGAATTGTGTTTGACCTTGGGGATGAGGTGGGCATGTCCAGGGTAGGCATGGCCAGCTTGTCCTCACTCGTGTCAGGGACGTTTGTTGGGGCCCAGTCACTCTGCCAGCGAAAACAGACTCCAGAGCCCCATTTTTAGTTGTGATGGCATCCTGCTGCCCTCTGCCAGTGAAAATGGAGCTCATGGAGGCTATACATGCCACCCCTGAGCTCCATTTTCACTGCTAGTGGGCGGCAGGAGGCCATTGCAGCTGAAAACAGAGCCTGGGAGGCCACAAGCAGCCCTCCTGAGCTCCATTTTCACTGCTAGTGGGCGGCAGGAGGCCATTGCAGCTGATAATAGAGCCTGGGAGGGCCACAAGCAGCCCTCCTGAGCTCCATTTTCACTGACCGAGGCACTGTGGGCTGGTCCTTTGCTGTTTCTAGGGCAGCCCGGTGAGCCAGATCTAAGCATCCCATGGGTCGGATGTGGCTCCCGGGCCTTGAGTTTGACACCCCTGCATCAGAGTATGGCAGATAATAAAAATATCATTTCCCCCAGTATGCAAAGAAATATTTGCCAGGATAATGTTCTGAATTTTTCTTATTGATATGGGTGTTTATGGTGTTGTATGGAATATGATTTGTTCAAAAGGTAATTTAATTTGAGAATACTCACGATGTAATTTATGAAGTAAAATATACTTCACATTGAAGTTCACAATCATGCTCTTGACATACAGTAATTGATGGTATGACATGTAATGCTAGAAGGACTGTCATAATTTCACGATATAATCCTACCATCTATTGTGAGCTTTTAAATAAATATTAGCATAAATATTAGCGTGAGAGTGGGAGCTCCTGAAGCAGTGTAGAAACAGGCTTTTAGACTTTTATCATGAGAATTTAGCAGAGGAGAAATTGAAATGTAAAAAGGCATTCTAGTGTTGTGAGTCTGGTAATAACTTGTATATACAGTCTTGCCTGGGTTGAGTTATAAAAGAAAAACAAGAGGTTTTTTAAATCTGAAATTAGAACCCAGCAGTACGTAATGACATGGCTTATCCATTATAAACTCCACATTTGTAGCACTATAAGAACATAAGTGTCAACTTAAACACCAGTGACCCATCAGGATGGCATTCTGTGCCCACATTGCCAAACCAGATGCTTTCCCGATGCCCTGTGATGTTAACCGGAGAGTGATAATCTTTTCTTGCTATTTGAATATAGCAGTCAATATTTAAGGGAGTGGTAAACAGCTCTTTAGACGACTAGCCCCTGATAGCCAAATCTTCCAGGCCCTTTTAAAAATATTCTAAATTGGTAGCCATCACTGCAATTGTACAATGAAATTATACATTGTTTAATGATATATATTCATGTGTGTGTATGTGCGCACGCGCGCGCTAATGTGTCTTTTGAGTAGGGGGGCTTTTCATTATCTATAATATACTCTTTTAGATATGTAGACAATATTCCAATATAGTCACTATGATTTAGCTAAGGGGATTGCAATAGCTTTATTTTAAAATCTCCAAATTTTGTTTCCTCCCGGTTACATTCTAAGTTGATATTTTCTTTGACTTATTTACCATGACTCAAGGATACTTTCCCCGATCAGCTGCTCCCAACTGCCAGCAACTTTCAACCCATTCATTAATGTATGAAGTTTGAATTTTTTTCTGCTGATGTACATTACTCTGCGTGGAACCACATTTGACATCTGGCACTCATTCATTCATATAGTTTGGATAAATATTTTTGGAGCTCTTCGTTGTATATTTTATTTTCCTCTTGTGATAAATTTTTGTAGTGTTGGCCAATTTGGCTACCTTTGTAACAAAACAAATAAAAATGTTCTGGCCCCAATGTTCAAGTCTCTCCCGTATACATTGCAGAGCATTAATTGTAGTTTTGCTAGATTAGCTGTTCCAGGTCTCCTACCAACAACTCCACTAGATTAAATTGGAATTCTAGTCACACTTTTATATTGATCAACATTTACTTTTCTATTTTTAGAATTATTTTATGATTGCATTCTTCTATCCTAGAATGCAATCTCTATGTCAAATACAGTATAAGAGGACTATAACTTAAAGTGCTTTTAATCTTAACTGTAGCACTTTTCATTGTTTTTTTAAAAACATTCTTAGCCTAAAAAGTAGATTAGGAAGAAAGTTATAGAACAAGAAAAGGAAAAAAATAGTTGTCCTTTTATTTCTCTGCTTAGAATTACTGTTAGTAGTTTGCTTAACAAGTATTCACTATTGCTATTTAAGGCACTGACGTCAGTAGTGTAGTACAAGAAATATCTTATTTCACATAAAAAGTCTTTTTTCATTTAAAAAAACAAAACAAAATGAAGTTTCTATATAGAAGATTGGCTAAGAATTGTTTTGGTTGGTTTTTATGTCTATGAGGTGTGATAATTTAAATTGTTAAATTACTTTTTTATATGTGTATAATTAAATGAGGTTAAATTTCTTTGATTTAGCTGGCAGCAATTTAAAAAAATGCTTTTCATACAATTTGTGTGATGGATGTACACAAACTGGTATTTGTGCAATAGGACTTTCTGTACTTTTCTTCATTTGCACCGTAGCTCCAAAATTTCTTTGGTGATCTTTGGGAACTGGAAGGGCAAAAACAATCTAGTCTGCCATTCCATTTGTTCTACTGGCAGGTGAAGTCAAATTCTTAAATCCTATAAAGAGAAGTTCTGCGGTGAACAGTCTTCTTAACACTTCCCTTGGAACTCATAATGTTTAAGTAAGGATGAATGGCTTGTAAGAAAATGGAGGTTGATCAAGTCCTGGACTTCAGATAAACCTATGAAACAGAGTTTTTTTCTACATGAGAGTTCTCTAAAGAAACTACAAGCAGTAGGCAAGATCATTTTTCCCCTCTGATAGCACAAACCACTACAACTAGGCCAGCATTATAGAAATCTCTGAAGGCATGGAATTGGGTAGAGATCCTATTCTAGCATATAGTATGTATTTTGTATGCATACAGTCATTTTTAAATACTTTGTCTTACAGACTAGAGAGAATGTGTGAATCAGTCCTTTCATTTTCATGTGCTCATAAGTCTGCTTCATACACATTTGTTTTAGTCATCATTGGAAAAACAAAAATGAATTTGCATTTAAACCTGAAAATATTTATTTTCCACTGACAGTGTATTCTTCTATGCATTTTATCCAAAACGTAAAATATAGAGACTACAAGATAATGTTCAGATTTCCATTGGTGAAGTTTGAATTGAATCATTTCATTTAAAACGCAAATGTCTTAACATTCTGAAGCACTGCTAGTTCAGATTATAAAATGTATCACAGATCTTGTGCTTGTCTTTGATTTACTGTTTATTCTTATTGATTTATTTTTCAGTGAACAGAGTATATGCCAAGCCCGGGCATCAGTTATGGTTTATGACGATACCAGTAAGAAATGGGTGCCAATAAAGCCTGGACAACAGGGCTTCAGCCGAATCAACATCTATCACAACACGGCCTGCAACACATTTAGAGTAGTTGGAGTTAAACTTCAAGATCAACAAGTGAGTCTTTTTCCAGCCTTTCAACCATACAAGTTCTAAAATAGAATTCAAAGAACAGTGGTTGTTCTGTGTCTTAGAAAAAGGTATATTAGTGTGTGTATGTACATATAAACTTTTTTATTTTAAGAGTACATTCTTTCCTCTGTGGTTGAAATACATAATTTATGCTGAGCAAAGGACGCCTTATGCTGAAGTGGAGGCTGTTGCTCCATTTAACACAGAACTGTCTCAAGTGGTTGCAATAAATTCTCCAGGGTTTCAGATAATTCCAGCATTACCATGAGATGCCAGCTTTTATATGTAGGATATTGTATAAATAAAGCATGTTGTATGTCCCAAGCTTTATACTCCCCCCTCCCATTTGCTTGAATGACTTATTTATACATATTGTTCTACTTCAAACCTCACGAGACAGCTTGTTTTAGAAGAAAAAGCTTGTTAACATAATAATCTTCTATAGTTATCATTTGCTCTTTGAACCCTATCACCTTAATGGTTTTCAAAAGGCAAGCAAGTTGAAGCTCTCCATATCTTCATAAACAAGATGTTTCAATGAACTCGCAGGGTGTTTAGACCTGGCCTCTGGGCCCACCCTGGAAACAGTGAAGGACTGGCCTTTGGTACTTCTGCAATGACAAAGGTGCTCGCGAGCATCCTTGAGCTCCATATTCATTGGCAAAGGGCTGCAGGACGCCATCAAGGCCAAAAATAAAGCCTTGAGTGATATCGAACTGGCCACACCCACCCTGAACATGCCCCCAGCCCCCACACACACACGCCCCGTGAGGTCAAACACAACCCTGACGTGGCCCTCTATGAAATTAAGTTTGACACCCCATATCTAATAGATGACTGCTGTGTAGAAATTAAAAAGTTAAAAGCTCAAATTGGCTGGAAACCTATTGGTTTATCAGTAGACTAACTTCAATAATGTGGAACCTACCAAACTGGTGTGGTTTTTTTTTGCAGAAATAAATTGGGCTACTTCTGTTTCAATTTCTGAGTCGTTCAAGGGCAGCTCCGTTTTAAAGTATTGCAGTAATCTAAACACGAAGTGGGAATGAATCAAAGTTATATGGGCTTTCTGTTTCCAAAAGGATTGTGTTTGGCTCATCAGTCAAATTGGAAGATCTCTTAGCTAGTCTTTACGTAATGCTCAAGCCTCATTGCCTCTTTGAATTTTTTTAGGCAGTCTACAAGAGTATTGTAATTGATGGTATGAAATGCTGCTTAAATGTACAATAGGACCAGGAGCTGTACAGTCCAGTTATATATACTTTGACATAGATGATTCCACTAGAGTAAGCAATGTTGTTTCTCTTCAAGGCCTGCATAATGATTGAAATGTATCTAGATGACCCATTTCTGTTAGGATTTTCTGTAGATGAATCCCTGTCATCTTCTCTTAAAAAAAAAAAGATTGGGCAGAAGTTCTGTAATATAGCTGGATGGAAATACGCCTCCTTTACAGTAAATGGTTTCTCTCTTTCCATCAGAGTGATATCACCTACCTTCTAGATCCTGCTGAATGTATTCTACTTAGGAAGCCAGTATTGGCATAAATCCAATCATGCTACAGAGGATTGTTTTCAGTTTCTTGATCTCTACAAGCTCAAAGGGATCTGAGATAATCTTGTTAGACGTTACCCTCATCACCTCATAAGATTCTGTCCAATTGGTGTCTATTTTCAATTAATGTAAATCATTTTATCTCAAAGAATCCCATAAAATTATTATGGTCAGCAGAGAAATTAGCTTCTTTAACCAGGGCTACTATGTGATGTGAGTCTGGAGACGTAGGAAAAGGAGTGGGGGAAAAACACATTCCACTCCTTTTATGCCACTAAATACTCATACAATGGGCACTCACTGATTGTCTTCTGCCAACATTACTATCTCTCTCTCTTTGGCTGCTTCATTTCTTGAAGCTTTGCAGAAAGGGAGGCCTTCAATCTGCAACTTGGGAAACCCTGATTGTATTCAATTATGTTTAATGTCCTTGTTGAATCCAGAAAACAATTACTTGAAGGCTGGAAAAATTCCTAGGTGCCCCCAGGGAATCTCTTGGATTTATTAGGTGCCTGGGGAAGTGGGGCAGGCCATTTTAACCATCCCACTGCCCTCACAGAGGCCAGGCAAGGCGCCAATGTGCATAATTGATTGGACTGTAGCAAGAGGACTGATGGCAGCGCCCCCTACTTTCAGATTACATTGCTGATACATCCTTGCAGAATGTACATTATTTCCAATCTGTATCTGATTCAAGCATTTGGATCTGAAGAGGAAGCAGACCTAGATTGAAAAGAGCAACATTTATGATATGGGGAGGGGGGATTAGGAGTCTGAGCTGTGAGGGCAGGGCAAAACAAAGAGTTGTGAAGACTCTGGAGTCTCACTATTGGTAGTCTAGCAGTCACAATTGAGGTAAGCCCTAGTTCAGTTATAAATATTAGCTTTACGTGTGTGGGGGTTCAAGCTATAATCCCTAGGATCTGCAGTTAAAAGGATCAGATAACAGGTGTTGAGAAAGATTTCTTCATATTTGAGCTCATAGGAGAACAGACAATACTGGGCTAAATGAAAAGATAGAGCAATCTGATGCAATATATCTTTTAATATTTATTTTCTGGAAATATATTTGGGGGGGAGGGAAATCAAAATTTATTTCAAAAAGAAAATAAACTCTTACATAAAGAGAAAAACAAGTTATATAACACCTGACTATAATAATGGTAAGATGATACATGGATTTATGTGTATTTTTTTCTGCTAATTATTAGAATTATCTGCTGATTTATTATTATCTTAGTAGGTTGTTGTGCTGCCTTTTAGACTATTTGTACTTCTGATGCAGCTAATTTTAACCCATTTATAAAACTAGATAATAAAATTATGCACTATTTATAGTAGTAAAAACATTGTATGAAAATATGGCATCAGATTAAAGCATATGTTTTTAGTGACTGCTCATTTCTTCTATTTCAATTTCAGGTAGTGATTAATTATTCAATTGTGAAAGGATTGAAGTACAATCAGGCAACGCCAACATTCCACCAGTGGCGTGACGCACGGCAGGTTTATGGACTGAACTTTGCTAGTAAAGAAGAGGCAACCACATTTTCAAATGCAATGCTATTTGCCCTAAATATCATGAACTCTCAGCAGGATGGAGGTAAGACAAATAATTATGATTATCAGGTCCACCATCACCACCTCTGTTAGCAAATTGTAGTCTGATATATAGTAGTACAGATATTAGAATCAGGATACATGGCTCATGCAGAGTGCAATATCTGCCCATTTTTGAAAGCAGATGAAGGCAAAAACCTTGGTATTTTTAAAATGTACATTTTTCTGTTAAATTGTAAGAGAACACTACTGCTAGCAATAGCGCATGCTATTAGCTGTCTCTGTCCCATGGGGTGCAGGTGGGGGACAGGGATGCTCATAAAATAAATAATCCAAACACTTTTCATAGCTGAAATTTTACTGTTTCCATTATTATGAAGAAATGTGATACTTTTCTTTTTCTTGTTTTAATCCACCTGTGCAAGATCTATGTGAGACATGAGTTTGCCATGTGATGTTCAGCTTTGCCTTGTCAACCCCATTAGTTAGACCAGACTATGAAATTAATTCCACAGGTTATTTACAACTACTTTTATTGAGATTGACTGTAACAGTAGAATCTTGTGCTGCAGATTGTGCTATAGCTCTTCTTCCTTCTTATAATTTAATAAATCAGGAGGGTGTTTGTCTGAGTCACGTCCATTCTGGAATTAAAAAGAATATTTTGGCCCTTTTTACTAGGCTAGAATTTCTGCATATCCCCAAGAAGATCATCTTCCTTACTCTCTGTATGTTTTCATCCTAAAAGAAATGTGAACGTAAGATGTGGTTGACCAAGGTGTTTATTTGTTGCTTTTCACATGCATTCAAGATTTCTCTTCTCATGCCATATAGCATAATAGTTAAGTTAGAATAAATCTTAGCAATTTATTCTATTTTTTTCAAAAGCTAAATGCAATGGATACCCTTGCTACTAGGCACATTTTTAATAAATGCATGAAATGAACAAAAATATGTAAAAATATCAGTGTGTAGAGCTTTTCCCATTTATTTTGTTATCACTAAGTCAACATGATTGAGTCTTCTCAAAGATGAAGAAATGTCCATATGTATTTCCTAAACTCAGATTATTATTTTATCCTATTTTGAACATTCGCTTTCTTCATAAATCAAACTCAGTACTTTATGTTGAGGTGTTTGTGGGATTTACTTTACATAGATCATCTTGAATGTTTGGCAGTAAATTGCTTATTACACCCAGACACCCACCTGTATGACTACCATGAATCTGAATTAATTTGGCAGCATAAAATGTAATTAATTGATTAATTGGTCTGCTCAGGGGTGTAGGATGAAAAAAGGGGAAATTAACAAGGTATCTGCTCTCACCTGGTTCCATTTGTTTTAGATGTCACAGAATATTTTTGGAGCAGGGTGTTTTTGGGAGATCATTGAGTACCTGGGGATAGTGCTGGCCATTTTTTTTAACCATTAGTATTATCTTCATCAGTTTTATTTTATTTTTTGTTTAGATTCCCTAAGGAAATACTCTCAGTCTTTAATGAATAAGTATCTTGAACCATTAAATCAAATACTTATGCTAATTTAATCAATCCATCCCAGCATTTCTCTGCTGGACAATTCCATTGAATTTCTTATTAGTCTATACTAGAAGAAGCACAAAGTCCATAGTAAAACCTTTGGGAAAGACTTTTTTTTAAATTTCATTTGGAGGGCATTAAAATCCTGAGCTTTTTTCCTTGCTCTTCAGTTCTATTCATGTGACAGCATAGCTGTTAAAATAGAAGCTAAGCACAAGCCTTGTGACATCAACGGTCTCATCAATAAAGATGAGTCCTCTTTATATAAAGATGGCATTGGTATTGCAGCTTTAACATAAACTAAGTTTTTTTTTCCTACTGCGCTGACACACTTTCCCAGACAGTAAATACAGATAGTCCTCAACATATAGCAGTTCATTTGCTGACCATTCAAAGTTACAGCAGCACTGAAAAAGTGACTTATGACCGTTTTCCACACCTACAATTGTTGCAGCATCCCCTGTTGTCATATAACTCCTTGTGTAGGTGTGGTGGTCACCCAAGGCCCAGTGCATAACAGGGCATGCACAGCCACGCTGAACCACACAGGAAAAAACAAACTCCTAAAAGAACATAACATCCTGATAGTTCACTCTAGATGTGCCTTACCCAACGACGCCCAGGATTTGACCATATATAGACAGAACTTCCCTGAGCAGTAGATTAGCAATTGTAGTTTGACAGGCTGTCTTAAATCACATGCTGATTGCTCCTCCTGCCTTTGTCCTATCTCAATAAAAGGGGCTTCCAGACCCCAATCTGGGTCGCCTCATCCCGAGAAGGCTCGTGTCCGTGTCTTTTCTCAACATTGGCTTCATGAGCGACCCACGGGTACTTCACAATCCCCATAGTCACATGATCAAAATTTAGACACTTGGCAACTGACTCTTATGATGGTTGCAGTGTCCTGGGGTCATGTGATCACCTTTTGCGACCTTCTGACAAGCAAAGTCAATGGGGAAGATAAACTCACTTAACAGGAATGTTATTAATTTAACAACTGCAATGATTCACTTAACAATTGTGGCAAGAAAGATTGTAAAAACAATAACGTAACTGTTTCACTTAGCAATAGAAATTTTGGGCTCAATTGCCTAGTAAGTTGGGGATCACCTGTATTGATCCTTTATAGTTGGATTTAGATTACTTTTCTCTGTTGCATCATAGTTTTTATGTAATTATGATGTATTGGGAGGCACATTAAAGTTGACCACATGAAGTGTTGCAGTATAATTCCAAGCCTCTGGTTGTAAGCAGTCCTCAAAATTTAAAATAGCAATATGTGAAAAATACAATACATAATTGCTGTACTAATGGGTGATTTACCTGGGGGCAGCCCACAGGAAATTTCTTTTAAGATGAACATCATTGCTTTTTTTTACTTTAAAAAAAAGCTTTAGTGAAGAGGTTTTTGTGCCCCCTATTTGAACAGTATGACTTTGTTAACTATTTCAAATTGATCCTACCAGACATTGATTCTAAACATTTTCTTTTATTTAGAAATCATATAAATGATATAAATGTTATGAGAGTTTCAATGAATTTGCCTTCGGCAATGGAGGAGCAAAGAGCAAATTGGAAGTAATTTTAAAAAGAAGTGAAAAATGGGAAAAGAAAATAGGTAGAGAGTAAAAAAAATAGGATAGGAAAGAGAAACACAAGCAGCAGGAGGAAAAACAAATAAAAATGGAAAATAAAAATGGACAACAGAAAGCACTTTTAATTTTTTTTAAAAAAAACCTCCCCTCCCATCATTTAAAGACAGAATCTTGTTTGATCTCAGATTTCAATGACATTAGCAGACTTTAACCAGCTCTCCTTTTCATATACAGAAGCAAGTTACATTTAAACAATTTTATTTCCCCCTTATGGTAAAGTACTGTAAGTGCAGACACTTCAACTTGGACTAGAATGCTGGCAGAGATAGGGTTTGGTTTCCCCCCCTCCCCTCTGTGTTTCAAAACAAATTCATCCCCCCTTTACAATTTAATTTATACTGCTAAATAAGATTTAAAACAACTTGATAACTGCATTTCTGTTAAAGAAACAGAGTTCTCATGCTAACATATTTACGTGTCTGAAAATTAAAACTTGTATCATAGTCATGTTTACTAAATGTAGCAAGATCTTGTGAAGCAAATGGTAACACAATTGGAGATTACAGTATTTTATTTCATATTGCCCAAAGAACAAAATGCAGCATAAATTCTCTGACATTTTAAAAACATTGTTTGATCAGGACACACCAACATAAAATTAAATGTGCTTCATAATTTCTTAAATATTTCAGTTCACTATAACTGGTTAAATCTTTTTTTTTTTTTTACAAAACAAACAATACATTTCTTGTTCGACATTTGCTGCTTTTGACCAGTTGTATGAGATCATTTTCTGTCATTGTCTTTTTTCCAAAGTTAGTTTTAGAGAAAGTAAACAAATGTCAACTTAGCAAAGGACCAATACAATGGACCATTAGGTCGTTTTCTGCTCTCAATTTTCTGCTTCTGCTTTCAATTTTCTCTTTCTAAAATAATAAATATGGCAATAGTCTATATATTATAACTATTCCTAATAATATGAATATGTTTCCTAGCAGCAGAAGCATTAAGAAACTTGCAATTTTAAAAAGGCAACGTTGAAAACATTGGTTTTTAGTTTTGAGAATCATGAGAATCATTACAGTGATGAATGAGTGGTTGAAACTTTTCTTTTTCATACAATCTGTAAAAATGATCTTTTCCATGCACTTAAATAGGATGAAAGAATCTTTGTAAAATAGTAAACTCCCTTACTTAATAATTATCAAAAACTAGAGGTTTTTTTGATGCAATTTATTTCATTTCATTTTGTCTTTTATCTTTTTTCTTCTCTCATTGTGGACAGTATTTAATTAGGTAATGTAAGAAATTGCACTGGAATAAAATGAAAAGAAAGTTTTAATAGATTATCTTCTCCTTAAACAATCAAGAATTCCATGAGTAAAGTTTTTAAAAGTTCATGAATACTAAGGAAACAATGATGGATGTTCCTCTTTAAGATTATTATGCACAGTATATTATGTCAAGCAACAATTCTGGATCGTAAAGCTTTATTTGTGACTTAGTCTGTGGTGTAACTTCAGACAGTGGTTTATTTAGTAAGTCATAGTTGAAGAAACAATGGCTGAGTGCAATATAGGAATGCAGCCTAAACTGCAACTAACTTGAATGCTGCTGGATAATCCATCTTGTTTGTTTGACTACAAAAGGAAGATTACAGTGTAACCCTAAACACACATACATAAAGATAAGCCCAATGAATCCAGTGATTCATTTCTAAGTAGGCATGTATAAGATTGAAAAGTAAAAGCCTTTATGAAATGAATAATTCATATAAAAACTGTAGCCCTCTATACATTTATACATAAGCATGTCATTCTGAATTTAGTAGGTTATTTCCAGTTGTGTGCATATGCAATTGAAGTCTAAATGTACCTAAATGTACTTAGAAAGGTTTTTAGACT